ACTACTATACATTGTGAAGTGGTGTTGGCGTGTGTGTGTGTGTGTGTATGCGGATTTTGAAGTGGATGGATTAGTTAGTGATTTGGATATATGTTGGAGTGAATGAGTGATAATGTGGTAGGCTGACGGATTGACTGATTGATTGGTTGATTGATTGATTGATTGTTTGTTTGAAATGAGAGTGTGTGTGTGATGTGTTGTATGGTGTTGGAATAGTGGGGCGGGCCTCCATAGCTCAGTGGTCAGAGCACTGGTCTTGTAAACCAGGGGTCGGGAGTTCGATCCTCCCTGGGGGCAGAGGCTTTTGAGAAACCACAACACAACACACTACAATCACACAAACAAAAACACAAACACATCAACACACCAACAATAAATCAACACTCACTAATCGCTTGTGTTCACACTAGAAACATCCATTTTTAAAACAAGCTAACCACGTGTCATTTTTCAACGTCTCAAACTGATTAACGCACATAAACACTGAATATGTGAAAACCGAAAAATTGCGTTTAAAAAATGAGTTTCAAAATGTCTAATTATCATCAAAAATTTTGGTATAGAATGTTGAATATGTTGATCCTGAACTATGATCTCTCATATTCGATCTAAAAGTATGCGTTATATATTTAAGAAAATCAATGGTTGAATTTACTAAACACTATTTTAACATCTTAACTATTTTTACTATAATTTGATTTATATCAGCAGGGCATTTTACCTGAATAAACCGTACTTACTTGGGGCAATGGTGAAGTTGGTTGTAGGGAATCTATGATATTTTTGTATTATTCTCGTCGGTTCTCAGTGGGACATAAGGCTTCAACAGCAAATCTCCATTTTTCCCTGTTCACTGCAATCATCCTTGGCTGGCTGTATTATTGTCAATAGGCTCTGATCTCTCCTTCACACGATTTGGTGGTGTACATCCTCGAATGGTGTGTGTGTGTGTGTTTGTGTGTGCGTGCGTGTAAGTGGGTATGTGTTTGTCTACGACAGACAGTGTATCTATCATTATGGGTTCTATCTAGGTGATTCGACATAGTGGTTATTTTGAGGCAAGTGTTGATGGATGTATTGGGCGCGCGCGCTCGTGTGTGTGATTCGGTGAGGATGAGTAGTTGTTGAGTGTTGATTCATTGTTGGTGTGTTTTTGTTTTTGTTTGTGTGATTGTAGTGTGTTGTGTTGTGTTGTGGTTTCTCAAAAGCCTCTGCCCCCAGGGAGGATCGAACTCCCGACCCCTGGTTTACAAGACCAGTGCTCTGACCACTGAGCTATGGAGGCCCGCCCCACTATTCCAACACCATACAACACATCACACACACACTCTCATATCAAACAAACAATCAATCAATCAACCAATCAATCAGTCAATCCGTCAGCCTACCACATTATCACTCATTCACTCCAACATATATCCAAATCACTAACTAATCCATCCACTTCAAAATCCGCATACACACACACACACACACACGCCAACACCACTTCACAATGTATAGTAGTGACCTCTGCAAATAAGCAATCACCTCATTCCTGGATCGATGCATGCATGGATGGATGGATGGATGGATGGATGGAAGAGATGTCACATGACAACGCACATACATGCATATGTGTGTTGTGCTCGTGAGTACAAGTGCATTTCGTTTCGGTCAGATGACATGAATTGTCGTTTCAGAGGTGATTTTCATCTTTCTGAGGAAATCAGCTTGCAGTAGTGGGAATCGTTGTGTGTGTGTGTGTGTTCTGATTGTTTGGTTGTTAGTTTGTTTGTGAATTTGATGTCGAGTGAGTGTGTGTGGGTAGACGATTGACGGATGGATTGTCAGTGTGAGGAGACTTGAAGCGAGCGTCGTTACTTGATGATGTGGTTAGTTGTGGCTTGGTGAATATTGTGTGAGTTCTTTGAAGTGATGAGTGAATGATTGAGTTGATGTTTGGTAGTTGTGAGTGTGTGTGTGTGTGTGTGTTTGTATTTGTTTGTGTTGTGTGAAGTTGGTTGATTATGTGAGTGTGTACGTGCTCCTCGATAGTATAGTGGTGAGTATCTCCGCCTGTCACGTGGAAGGCCCGGGTTCGATTCCCGGTCGAGGAGCTGGCTTTTACTTCACCCGATCAATCAGTCAATCAATCAATCAAATGTGCAGTCACCACTCCGACTGACTGACTGACCAACCCAAAATTCCAAAACACCGTTTGAAATAAAGCTGTTATTATTATTAGAATATTCCGAAAGAAGGGGTAGGATCAAAGCTCTGTCAGCAAGAATCACGCTCTAAACACCTGCTGTAGGCAGTCCAAGTCCTGGATGACCTTGATCCACTCAAACAACATCTCAGTTGTAAAATAACCATCACAAAGAGAAGTGTTCAAATTACACATTGAACAGGAAGAAAGGCAAATAATCTGGATTATGTCAGCAGATGAATATGCAAATGTCAGAACAGCAACATGTAGCCTAATAGAAAAGAGGAAGATAATTAGAAAGTTAGTTGAAACATCCAAATATGTATGTGAATATTGTACAAGGGATCATTCAGGAGGAATACTGCAAGCCATAATTTTGTTTCCGAATTCCCATTTACAGTTTGAAGACGATATTAAGATATGGAAAACCGTAAATAGTAACGATGATAGGTTGGTACTACAAAACGATCTAGACAAATTAGCCGAATGGGCTAACCTTTGGAGTCTGGAAATTAATTCCAAGAAAAGCGCGGTAATGCACCTAGGTCAGAAGTCCTACACGTCGTACTCCATGGGGACACAGAACTGTCAGATGTTAGGGAACAAAAGGACTTAGGAATTATTGTTAACCATGACTTAAAAACAACGGCAAACTGTAATCGAGCCGCAGCTAAGGCTTTTCGAATGCTATGGGCACTTCGAAGTGCTTTCAAACGATTAGACGAGGGTATGTTCCAAGTACTCTATGCAACATATGTCAGACCTCATCTAGAGTACTGCATACAAGCGGCGAGTCCATGCTTCAAAAAGGAGGCACATATCCTGGAAAGAGTACAGAGGGTAGGAAAGAAATTAGTTAGTGGTATCTCACACCTTCCTTATGATAAGAGGATGCAGCATTTAAATCTCTTTCCGTTATCATACAGAAGGAAGAGAGGCGACTTAATTTTAGCATACCGTATACTTAAGGGTGATTTAGGAACTGACCTTTCTAAACTTCTCTCCCCTTCTAGGATACATTTACGGGGTCACCGCAAAAAGGTGCTCAAACCGAGGACGATTAAAATACGTGCAGAATTAAGATTCTCTCACAAAGTGATCAACGACTGGAACTCCTTACCTGATTCAGTAGTATCAGCTCCATCAGCGAACGCTTTCAAAGAGAAGTTAGATCTCTACAGAGAGATATTTTGCAAGGATTAATACAGGCCACAAGAGCCTTCTATCCTTATAATCTGAATCTGAGCGAAGAAATATGCATTCCTTTTCAATTAGTTCTTCATCATCTCCTGCCTTTACACTAATATGCAGTTTTCTACATCAAAATTGTCTTACCAATCAAGTGGTTATTTTAGTTAATCAGATTTAGATATAGGGGGGGGTGAGATTTAGAGGCTTAAAGTCACCACAACACCAACTGACTAATAGATATTAATTTTCAAGTATTGGTTTGGTAGGCATTTTGTTTAATTGCATGGAGGATTTCATCATGAGCTGACATTAGTTAGAGAACCATTGGAAAACCTGGGAGTACTGGACAGCTGTTTCCTCCGTCCTAGTTTGGGACTCTTCAGCAGTACGCACCCACCACCACAGTTCGAACCCGAGACCTTCTGGTTACAAGGCGAGCTCGTGGACCATTGAGCCACTGGGACCCGATCCAATGGTCCTTGAATTCTAACTTCTGCCAATTCACGACATAGCGCGACCATTTCTCAATGTCTTCTTAGATGAGTTACTGCCTCATCTTCAACCTGCTGTACCCTACTGGTCACGGCTTCCCACTAGAACCCACTAGAATCCCAAACTAGGACGAAACAGCTGTCCAGTACTCCCAGGTTTCCAGTGGTTCTCTAACTGATGTCAGCTCATGATGAAATCCTCTATGTAATAGATATTAGTAACAAGATATCCAGGTTTTCAAGGAGGTGTAGAGATTAATTAATGACGGAATTCAGGACAAGTCAATTCTCAGGCGTTAGCAACTAGTCATTACATAATCAATAAATTTGTAAAATAGCAATGATGACTTAGAAGAATTAAGTAACACACAAACAAGTTAATAGAGTTAGCTGCAATTATAAAAATTTTCAAGTATTGGCTTTGTAGGGAGTTTTGTTTGATTGGTTGGAGGGTTTCATCATTACCTAGCATCATTTAGAGAACTATTGGGAGAAAAACCTGGGAGTACTGGACAGCTGTTTCCTCCATCCTAGTTTGGGAATCATTGGCAGTCCCACCGATGACATTGGTTGGTGGTCGCGCTAAATCACGAATTGGTAGAAGTTAGAATCGGTTCCCAGTGGCTGAATGGAATACGTAACCGGAAGGTCCTGGGTTTGAACTTTGGTGGTGGGTGCTTACTGTCGATGATTCCCAAACTAGGACGAAACGGCTGTCCAGTACTCCGTGCTGATTTTCAATGGTTCTCTAACTCATATCAATCCGTGATCAACTTGATGTGGAAAGTGTCAACAATCAACAAATTGTGAAACCGTGAGACTAAACTGATATGATTCTGAGCAACAATAAATTGTGCTCGAAACCTTGTCATCCAGTTGTTAGTACTGCATCACTCACTGTGTGATAATTAAACATAAACTTATCTAATACAGAATTAAATTTACACTCCTCGTAAGAGGAGATACATACATTTGAAGGTGAGTGAGACAGACACTTATTATATTCGTATAGTTAGTTGACTTTTGAAACTTACCAATGTGTAGTGACTTCTACTCTAACTTCACAAAGTGTGTTTGATAGTCAAGTGGTCAGTCAGTCAGTCAGATATTCATGTTATTAATGGAAAGGACTGTTTGCTGTGAGCATATTAGACTTTGTGATATATACATACATGTATATCTCGAATATTCTAATACTTTATTCGTGTGATCGGTAATTATTTTGTTATTTCGATTGTATTATTGATGTCGTATTATTATTATTATTATTCAAGCATATTTCCTAATCATTCAATATTAATTCACAACATAATATTTAGAGCAAACAATTGTTTTCAATAAATTCTTCTTCAGGCTCTACAATTATAAATCCATTAATTTAAGCATACAATAGCCATAAACAAGAGCTTCTAAATGCTGTTAATAGTGTTCACCCAACTATTCAGTTTACATGTGAAGAAGAAGACAATAACAGTTTACCTTACCTTACCATGAAGACAGACGGATATCTACAAAGGAAACTATTTAGTAAGAAAACTTGCACGGGTCAGTACACCCATTTCCATAGCTTCGCACCGATTCAGTACAAAAGAAACTTAGTTAAGTGTCTAAGCTATAGAATAAAACGTATATGTTCAGAGGAATTCATTGAGGAAGAAATGCATAAACTGAAACTCACACTGCAAGAAAATGGATATCCACAGAGCTTCCTAAAAAAGTATATGTCAATACCTACAGACAAGGTAAAGGTGGATACCGTAGAAAAGAAACCCTTGTATCTTAAGTTAAGTTACAAAGGGGAAATTGCAGCTGACATTCTAAAATTTCGACTTAATAGAGCAGTAGATAGAACATTTCCTGCAGCTAAACTGGTACTCAACTTCTCAACTAAACCAGTACTCACACAGCAAGTAAAGGATAAATTACCAAAGATGGCCTCATCAATGTGCATCTATGAATTCAACTGCTTATGTGGAGCTAGTTACATTGGCCGTACTCAGAGGGCTTTATCCATGCGCGCACGTGAACATGTACCTGTATGGTTGAGTAAAGGAGTAACCAAGTGTGTAAATAGTGCAGTCTTAGCCCACTTGGTAGATACTGGACACCAGATAAAACTTGACCAGGCGTTCTCAGTTATTTACCGCGTTTCTAGTAATTTATCTAGAGGAGCTCGACTGCGTCTTCTATCAGTAGCTGAAGCGGTGGCAATTAGTACCAGAAGACCATCTCTTTGCATACAGAAGAAGTATGTTCAACCACTATGTTTACCTTGGCCTACAATAAAGCCAACAAATCCTCCATTAACACTATAAATTCCTTTCACAATTTTCTTTTCTTTTCTTCTTCTTCTATTCCTCTGTTTCATTGACAATCGTTCATTTTCGACTTTTATGATTTCATGACCTTTCTTATGATTTTATTACCTTAGGTTTAAGTAGTGCTTTTCTAACTTGCTATCGTATTTACAAAATCCTGTTCATTCCACTTCATTATATTCATTATTATTATTTGACAATCATTCACCAATAGTGCTTGTAATTTTACACCATATCATCGTTATTATTTTACAATCATTCTTACTGTCGTTATTTTCAACCTTGAACTTATGTCTAGTCCGCCCCATTCGTTGGTTTATTTTCATATTGTCTCACACACCCTGATTACACACACTCTCGAAACCTGTATTTCTGTTGACTATATTTATATATATATATATATATATACATACATCATTAAATTAAATTACTTCATCTGATTTTGTCCCATGTTCTCATTGACCATGCATATTAAAAAACTATCTGACTATTGTTCCATCCCATCTTATACTTGTTCCACAATACACTTTCTGATATGATTCTAATTTGCCTTTACTGGCTGGCTATTGTATACTTAAATTAATGGATTTATAATTGTAGAGCCTGAAGAAGAATTTATTGAAAACAATTGTTCGCTCTAAATATTTTGTTCTGAATTAATTATGGGAATATTCAATTTACATTCAATATTAGATAATAAATGTATTCAAGCCACACTTACAATAAGAGAATTGGTGATTTGAAGGTCTAACACACGGAGTAATTAACCGTCAATAAACAATAATGATTTGGTATTTCTGACTGGACACTAGTCAGTAACTAGTGTACCGTGTCTAGTCCTATCTTTGCTTCAGACTGAATTCTATCAGTCAAGCTTGCAATATGGTCAGCATGCTAGGTGGCTCGCCATCACGGTGCAGTGTGAATTGTTGGTATTAGATGGTTGGAGGCAATCGGCCACAGGAAGCCACACCTGGGTTTCGTGCTAGTTGGCACTCATCAGCAAGGCGTATCTGCAATCACCTTGAAGTAACTCATGTCCCTTCTGAGATTCGAACCCGCGTCACCCAGTGCCGACTGCAGTCAGAGACGTTACCACTGAGCTATTGGGGCTGCCTCACGATTTACCTCATACAGTCCTACAGGAGCACTGGGTGACGAGGGTTCGAATCTCAGAAAGGACATGAGTTCCTTCGAGGTTGCAGATACACCTTGCTGACTACTGATGAGTGCCAACTAGCACGAAACCTAGATCAAGCAAGGCTTCCTGTGGCCGATTGCCTCCAACCATCTAATACCAACAATTCATAGTGCCTTAGTGTGTCACCAAAATCATCTTCAATAGACTAAAAACTTTCATCAACATTTATCGCACTTTCTCTCGCTACTAAATATCATATGTCTGATCGTCAAGGAGAAGTATTTTTTTATTCCTTCACGTTCCCAGTGGAACATAGGGCTTCAAGCTAGTGGCTTGAAGTTTCTGTAGCAGTGTTTATTTTTACAGGATGGGGTTGCTAGCCTCATGCCCAACCTTTCCTCTTTACCAGCCTTTTTTTCTTACTGGTTTGGCGAGGTAAAGGAGTGCGTCGGTGGCCGGGGATCGAACCCCGGACCATGTGCGTGGTCGGCGAGCGTCCTAACCGCTGTGCCACCGACGCACACAAAGGAGAAATAAGCAACTTAGAACACTGTCAGGCACTGAAATAATCCAAGTCGCTTATTCGTGCAACTTATATGCAGAAGGAAATTGAGATGCATTGGGAATTCATTGATTAAGGAAACATCCAAGTGATATCATAAACACTTGATCCCTTAATCGATAACAGGTGAAAGTGAGGAGTTGGGCTGGGGTCCAAAATGAAATGGAGGAGAACACCTTAAATCCTGTGGATATTGATGGAGGCAGCTAAGTTGAGAAAACAAAGAGCCACTCGAAATGCAGGGAAGGAGTGATAAAAATAAGAGGGTAGTAACAAAAGTGATGAGTTGTCACAATCGACTGTTAAAGAAGAGTTGAAAAATAAATAATAAATAAAATAAAATAACTAAAAATAACAATAATATCAGTAATATTATTATTACTACAGTTGCATTTTTACGAGGATAATGTCCAGGCAGTTTAAATGACATGAAAATCCCGTGATTTCATGGCATCTGTTATTCATGTGCATATGTAAAGTGCAGAATAAGCCATATTCCCATAGAGTTATGCTCAAGAATCAACATCCAAATTGTATTTGGTGATTTGTACACCCATAAACCTGTCTTTACCAGTCGACCATTACTGTTCAATAACTCCTGAAGGACAACATTCCGCTGTTGACCAACTCTATGTGTGTTTATCAATTCATCTGCTCGTGTGAAGCTAGGTATATCGGTCGTTCGACACGAGTTTTGTCCAAGAGGATGCAAGGACACTATCCTTCATGGTTACGAAAAGGTGGAAGTGGAGCAATAAGAAGCGCGATCATTGAACATTTGGTAGATAATGATCACCCTATCTCTATAGCCTCCGCCTTCAAAGTCATCTACAAGGTAAACAGTAATTTACCCAAATCCCTACGTACCCGACTCATCTGTATTGTTGAAGCTTTGTCTATCGAAACAGAAAAGTCAGATCTCTGTGTACAGAAAAAGTTCGTTCAACCCCTCCAACTTTCATGGTCATAATCCCTCTATGCTAAAGTATGGCAATCTCTAATCATATTTTGGCTCTACCAGTTTTTCATTTTTCATTTTGTTTATTCAATTTGTATACTCTTCCTTTATTACGTCAATTGTTACTATTACTACTCTCACTTTTAATTGTCCCCGGTATTATTTCACTTGTTCCACTTGTCATTCTAAATCAATTCTCTTTTGCAACATTAAATTCTATGTTATCAAATTCCACACGACATTACGTAACGTTTTTATTTTATTTTATTCGACTTGTCTACTAATCCTAAAATTGCACACCCCTTCCAAGTTCTATACATCCTATGAATTATTCTATATATGACACTAATTGTTTTGCCACTTGACATTTAACTATGATTATAATCACAAACATTTTAATTGCATTTCATACTACTACTATTATTATTTTATGCATTTACACCTATAATTCAATTCCCTCACCTGATATAACTTCTTAAAAACCATATATATAAATATACTACTGTACAGCTTGATAATAAATTCGTTACAGGATTTTCATCATGAGCTGACATTAGTTAGAGAACCATTAGAAAACCAACTGGGAGTACTGGACAGCTGTTTCCTCCGTCCTAGTTTGGGACTCTTCATCAGTACGCACCCACCGCCAAGGTTAGAACACAGGGACCTCTGGTTACAAGGCGAGTTCGTATGCCATTAAGCCACTGGGACCCGATCCAATGGTCCATGAATTCTAACTTCTGCCAATTCACAACATAGCGCGACCCCTAGCTAATGTCTTCGGCGAGTATTTATCCTCAAACTAGGCTGACGAAACAGCTGTCCAGTACTCCCAGGTTTTCCAATGGTTCTGTAACTAATGTCAGCTCATGATGAAAAACCTGTAACCAATCAAATCCCTACAAACCAACACTTGAATAAATTCGTTGTTGAAAAGAGTCTCTTCGCTGAATCACTTGTTTTGATTTTCTATATGTTACAATGGGAATTTTCCATGAATTAATAATTATTCAACGTTATATGAACTGAAAATTCCTTTCACAGTATATAGAGTCGTGGAATCAGTGGAAACTTGTGCGACGTGAAGTGAAGGAATTGAACTGAAGAACAACAAGAACCTCATTATTCAGGATATGTCATCTGCAAATCAATTACCAAATCTATTCAAAGTAATTCCGCTTTTACACAGTCATTGAAGTCTAAAGTTAGCTTTGCTTTCATGTGTTCCCTTGTTTGAAATAGTCCTTGTAACAATCATACTATCTTGCTCGTAAGTATCAATTTCAAAATAACAATTTGAATAATAATAATGAAATTTATGTTTAGTTACGATTTCACAACATCACTGAGAAGCATACGCTGGTTACCATATTTTCTAATGTAAGTGAGTACCACTCATTTATTGAGAATGTATTCCGAACAATCTTAAAAATGAAGTTAAGATTTTCTGATGTTATTTATTTGGTTAAAATTCCTCATTGTGTAATCAGTGGCATATAATTTTCGACCCAACAGCTGTTTTCGATACCTTCTTCCTCAAGTTCTACAGTTATAAATCCATGAATATTAGAATACATATATTCAACCATAAAATTTAAATGAAAAACACATCAGAAACTAGTATAAGTATACAACTTGGGCACTGTGACAGAGTACAACTCCATAATGGATAAGATTTTATTTTGATAAGTCACACAGTGTTATACAGGACAGTAATATTTACTGATGACCACGTATCGACCACAAACTATCGCCACTCTTAATCATATCAAGGCACTACTCACACAACTTTCTTCCTTCATTTATATACATGTGTGGAATTGACTAGATATTTGAATAAAAATCAATATGGGATAATGTACATTTAGAAATAATAGTAATATAAGTGTTATCAATCAAATACAATCAGATGGGAAATAAGACGAGTGTTTTTTTATAGTCAAAATAATGTGATGTGTTTGAATTGAAATAGAATTTTAAGATTATTTATTATCCTTCTCTGATTTGACTGACTGGTGGTAATAATATCTTCCATATTTATGGTATTTGCATTGAGTCATTTCTGTTGCATGTGTTGTGTTTGGTGTAGACTCGATGTACCAGGCAGGATTCAGTAATCAATCCCTCTCTCCACCTACATAGATTACATTTTAGAATTTTGACTCTGTCCCACATACCATTGTGTGGCTGTGTGTTAATGGATGCAGTACAATTGCTGAGTTTTTCTAAATTACTTATCTTGGCGTCAACCATTCTTACCTTAGCTAAATTCTTATATTCTGATGATCTGACTATCCCTGAACTACTAGTTTGACCTATGTAGTTGACCTCACAGTCATTGCAGGGTATTTTGTATATTATATTATTTTGTCTAATTGGGTCAACCCACAGGGTCCTTTAGCCTACAGAGCTTTTCCTACCTGAGTGAGTTTGTAGGTTTGAATGCCACCCTAATTCCTGCTTTATTGAAAATCCTACGTCGGGAGGGTCTCAGATGTCCCCTCCTTATATGGTATAACAGTAGATGACTTATATTCTCTCTTATTTATGTTGACATTACTTGTTTCGCAATTATTTTTGTTTTGGGGACATCTGAGACCCTATGTAGGATTCTTAATGAAGCAGGAATTAGGGTGGCATTCAAACCTACAAACTCACTCAGGGACAAGCTCCGTAGATTAAAGGACCCGGTGAACCCGATTAAACAAAATAACATAATTTACAAAATACCTTGCAATGACTGCGCGTGAGGTCAACTATATAGGTCAAACTAGTAGATCGGAGGTTATCAGATTGTCGGAACATAAGAATTTAGCTAAGGTAAGAAAGGTCGAACCCGAGAAGATAAGTAATTTAGAAAAAAGCTCAACAATTGTACTACATGCAATAACACACAAACACACAATAGGGTAGGAGAGGCTTAAGATTCTAAGAAGTAATCTATGTAGGTGAAGAGCAGAGAGAGATTGATTACTGAATCCGGCCTGGTTCATTGAGTCTACACCCAACACAACACAACACATGCAGCAGAAATGACTCAATGCAAATACCATAAATATGGAAGATATTATTACCACCAGTCAGTCAAATCAGAGAAGGATAATAAATAATCTCAAAATTCTATTTCAAATCACGTACATCACAACATTCTAACGAGTTACTTATTTTGACTATAAAAACACTCGTCTTATTTCCCATCTGATTGTAATCGATCAATAATTCTCATATTACTATTGTTTCTGAATGTACATTATCCTATAGTGATTTTTATTCAAATGTCTAATCATCAATTTCACTCATGTATATAAATGAAGGAAGAAAGTTGTGTGAGTAGTGCCTTGATATGATTATGAGTGGCAATAGTTTGTGCTCGAAACGTGGTCATCAGTTAATATTACTGTATAACAACACTGTGTGATTTATCAAAATAAAATCTTATCCATAATGGAGCTATATCAGAAACTGGATTGATGTGCATACATAAGATGGAATGATAGTTCGTTAGTTAATATTTTCAATTGAATGTATACAGTCAGTCATTCAGAACTTGAGGTAAAAAATGTGAATAGACAACTGGTTGACATACTAATGTTGTACTTGTAGTCAACAGAATATAAGTTTCATTGGGTGTGCGGTGTCCCTGATCCACTAAATGACAGTTATTTACGTCTTCAAGTGTTGGTTTTGTTACGGAACTTTGTTTGATTGGTTGGAGGATTTCATCATGAGCTGACATCAGTTAGAGAACCATTGGAAATTTAACAGGGAGTACTGGACAGCTGTTTCCGTAGTCCTAGTTTGAGGCTCTTCAAAGTAAGCACCCACCACCAGCGTTCGAACCCAGGATCACCTGGTTACAAGGCGAGCTAGCTCGTAGACCATTAAGCCACTGGGACCCGATCCAGTGACCCATGAATACCAAACAGTCTACCTAAAAGCAAACGATTACATCTCATAGCCATGGTGGAAGCTATAGAGATTAATAAGAAGAAACCTGAACTGTGTGTGCAAAATTACAACATTCATCCTGTTTGTTTACCCTAGCGCACGATAAGGTGGTCAACGGGGACATAATCATCCATATTTTCATGTCATAGTATGCCTTTCTTATTCTCTTTCACATAGTTCACTTCACTCCACTATTATCCTTATTATGTGTGTTAACCTTTGTAATTTTATTACAGTTCACAATTTAACCTCTTTATTTTATCACTACACTTAATATTTTTCAGCCCATGCTTGAACTTACATTCAGTGTATCCCATGCTTTTGGTATTTATTTGCATATATTTTGTGGTAATCATATTTCTCTCACACCACTGAATATAACTCACTACCTCTAAATGAGTATGTCACTCGCTTTTGAAATCACTTGTGTTCTCTGAGTTGGTTGGTTTAATTGCGGAGCTTTCGTCCTCCTCTCTTCTGGACAACATCCCCTTTCAGCGCAATTTTTAGCATAAAGTGAACTGATTTAAATTCCTCATGAATGACAGAATTGCGTCTCATGGTAACCATCTGTACATCTGTATTGATCACTTTTATTGACTTGGAATTCGAACTTCCTCGTCGTTGTGGTTTACTCTTTATTAGTTTGTAGATTTGGTCTATATTAACATATTCGATTGAGTGCCAGGCTTCTACGAATTCTCTGGCACTTTTGGTGTTTCCTCTGTTTAAAATCTCGACATTATCCCAGTTAACAAATTGATGTCCATAATTATCTACATGCATTGATATGAAGCAGGAATATATATCATGTTCTTTTACAGACACTTTGTGTTCCTGGATTCTGATTCGAAGGGGACGACCACTTTGTTGACCGATGTAATGTCTGTTACAGATCATACACGCAATTTATTTTGCAAATGGTATTAATTTTTTCTTGCTTCTTTTTCTGTTGGATCTTTCACAGTTTCCACAATATCGAATGAAGTGATTGTGCTGGCTGGCTGGCTGTTTGGCTTGTGTGCTATATCTATTTTAAACGGTTTCAGGATTCTAGCTGTTATTTCAGAGATATTTTTTCTGATATATGGTAGAATGAATTCTCTTGCATTCTTTGATGATGGATTCTTGGTGGCGTTGTGGCTCGTGTTTAAACACTAATTGTATGACGGCTTCAGCTATTAATCCTGATATAGGCGATGATCCCATCGGTCTTCCTCTTATCTGCTCAATTATTTGAATATTAAACTGGAAGTATGTTGTAAGACATAATTCTATGAGTTCTATGAAGATAGTCTAAATAATTGCGTGGTAAATTTATCAAAACAATCACTGTCAAAAACAGAAGAACATCTTGTTAAGAAAGGTCATGAATTACAATGCCGGTGACGCTTCAAAAACAGATTGCCGCGCTTCTTTGAAAATCACCAGTGAAAAACTTCCGAGATGAATTAACTTGCTCCCAATTCAATGAAATGAAGATAAAATTATTATTGTTCCCTTGAGTTCCTAGTGGAACATAGGGCTTCAACTACACGTCTCCACTCCCCTCTGTCTTCGGCTGTACTTTTCACCTACATCCATGTTAATCCATACTGTTTCAACTCCACTTCACACGATTTCCTCCATGTCACCCTTGCACCCACGAACCACTCGCCGCTTCCATTTCGGGTTCCACTCGGGCATTGGCCTGACGCGCGATGTCTCCCAGTGGCCTCCTCAGCGAGTGTCCAATCCATCTCCACTTTCTCCTGCATATTTGTTGGGCGATTGGTTCTTGTTTTGTTTTGTTTCTTTCCATAGTTTCTTGTTGGTTCTTGTTCTTTCCGGCCATCTGATCTTCAGTATACAGCGACGAAGACAGCTGTTGATAAAGGTCTGCAACAGGCTGTTGGAAATATTCTTTGTGACACACCCACCAAGTTTCTGATCCGTATAGAAGAACTGACTGACTTGACGTTTGTATTGAAAATCCAAATTTTGTTTGTTGTTGATGCTGAGTGACGAAGATTTCCAGATTGGTTTCAGGTTGATGAATGTGTTTCTCGCCTTCCCAATTCTCGATTTGGCATCCTCGTCCGTCCGTTCCTTCTTTAGTTGAGACAATGCTCTCCAGATAAGTGAATGAAGTAACCTCTTTCAAACCCCTCCTGGTGATGGTGATTGGCGCTGGATGTTGCTGTTGTTGTTGTCGGTTGGTTGGTTATTTTCATAACCTCCGTCTTGTCTATGTTCACCTGGAGTCCTGTCTTCTCTGGCTGCTTCTTCGACCAGTTTGTCGGTTTTCGCTTCTAAGTCTTCGATTTTGTGTGACATCAAACATAAATCATCCACGAGCGAAATCCAGGTCTTCTAAGTTCTTCACGTCGGTCCAGGATATCCCTCCCTGTCTTCTCGTTTCTCACTGTCTGACGACGCATAATCCAGTCCACCACAATTAGGAATATCATTGGTGATAGTAGGCACCCTTGTCTGACTCCTGTGTTTACTCCAAACGCCTCGGTGAGTTTTCCGTTGTGGATCACTTGACATGTGCCGTTGTCGTACAGCTGTTGAATAAGGTTGATGAATATTTGGGGTACGCCGTAGTACTCGAGTAGTTTCCAAATTACTTCGCGGTCAACGCTGTCGAAGGCCTTCTCAAAGTCTATGAAGTTGAGGTAGAGGTTTGATTGCCATTCCATCCTTTGTTCGATGATGATGCGTAGAGTTGCAATTTGGTCAGAACATGATTTGCCTTTCCTGAATCCAGCTTGTTCTGGTCGGAATTCTGTATCCAGTGCGTCCTTTATTCTCTCCAGGATGATGCGACTCAGGATTTTACTTGGCGTCTACAGGAGCATGATTCCTCGCCAGTTCTTGCAGAGTCCCAGGTCGCCCTTCCTTGGTAGTTTCACGAGGTAACCTTTCCTCCATTCAGTGCTTTTCATGTAAATCCTGTATGAAGAAGGAAGTATTTTGGAACTAAATACGCTGGAAATTTTTGTACCACATGTTCGTTGATTATAAGTATCCTAATATTTATGGATTTATAACTGTAGAGGTTAGGTAGGCAAAGTTAAACTTTAAGCACCAGTAATTACCAACGGACGAACGACTTTGAACACACCAGCCACATGATAAAGGCCATTTGTGGGTATATTCATGAAAATAGTGAATTTAAAGGCATGAAACTGTTCCACAGACAAGATACCTTTGTCTGACGTCTGACAGAAATACCTCTCAATTTTGGATTGGAATGTCAACAGAGTAATTTTACCACACTCTGTACGTGTAATTATCGAGGTCTTCTAACCCTAAAAATAACCTTAATCATTCCTTAACTTAAGCCTAGTGTGAAAATATCCCTAAACCAACCGTAATCTAACTCGAACCAACCCTAATGTCGCCCTCGTTAGATTAACCTAACAAATAACCTGTCCTTAGCTCAGACCTTAACTTAATCTTTCCCAAACCTGACCTGACACTTGTCAGATATCCCACTGAATAACATGACACTTCAATGAGCATATTTTATTCAGTACTACAATGTTATTTGCCAGGTATCCATAACTTGCCTACTGAGAGTTCCAAAGTCATTGGTGTGGTCGTACTGCACTGGCGGTACTTACTGGTGCTTAAAGTTTAATTTGGCCATTGAGGAGGATGTTATTCATGATAAAAATTCAAAGGAATGAATCCTAGATTGCTATTTTCGCTAACTACTATCTGAATGTACATAACATGTATGAATTGAGGGGGGGAGAGAGAGAGGGACTACAAGAAATGTGACTCATATTGCATCATTATATAAAGAGAAATATTATGATTGTAACAAGGGTGCTTATTATCACCAATGATATTCCTAATTGTGGTGGACTGGATTATGCGTCGTCAGACAGTAAGAAACGAGAAGACAGGGAGGGATATCCTGGACCGACGTGAAGAACTTAGAAGACCTGGATTTCGCCCGTGGATGATTTATGTTTGATGTCACACAAAATCGAAGATTACAAGCGAAAACAAGCGACAAACTGCTTGGTCGAAGAAGCAGCCAGAGAAGACAGGACTCCAGGTGAACATAGACAAGACGGAGGTTATGAAAATAACCAACCAACCGACAACAACAACAACAACAACAGCAACATCCAGCGCCAATCACCATCATCAGGAGGGATTTGAAAGAGGTTACTTCATTCACTTATCTAGGGAGCATTGTCTCAACTACAGGAGGAGGACGGACGAGGATGTCAAATCGAGAATCGGGAAGGCGAGAAACACATTCATCAACCTGAAACCAATCTGGAAATCTTCGTCACTCAGCATCAACAACAAACAAAATTTGGATTTTCAATACAAACGTCAAGTCAGTCAGTTCTTCTATACGGATCAGAAACTTGGTGGGTGTGTCACAAAGAATATTTCCAACAGCCTGTTGCAGACCTTTATCAACAGCTGTCTTCGTCGCTGTATACTGAAGATCAGATGGCCGGAAAGAACAAGAACCAACAAGAAACTATGGAAAGAAACAAAACAAAACAAGAACCAATCGCCCAACAAATATGCAGGAGAAAGTGGAGATGGATTGGACACTCGCTGAGGAGGCCACTGGGTGACATCGCGCGTCAGGCCAATGCTCGAGTGGAACCCGAAAGGGAAGCGGCGAGTGGTTCGTGGGTGCAAGGGTGACATGGAGGAGATCGTGTGAAGAGGAGTTGAAACAGTATGGACTAACATGGATGCAGGTGAAAAGTACAGCAGAAGACAGAGGGAAGTGGAGACGTGTAGTTGAAGCCCTATGTTCCACTAGGAACCCAAGGGAACAATAATAATAATATAAATAACAAGTTCCAATGGACCGATTAGCCTTCACGTTATATCATTTACTTCATTTCTGTTTTGTAGTGCTCTCTCTGCTCTATTGTCACTGTTAATCGTATTTGTTCGTGGTCTACAATCAAAGTTTCCAGTCAATTATCTAATTCTCTATCTTAACGTAAGTCAAGTCAGGTCAAGTTGAGTGATATACTTTAATTATTTTTAGACAAATAATGCCATGTGATGCACTAAGTGTTGACGATCTCTCTCTCATATCTAACTTCAGAAATATGAGGATATCGGTGTGATAAGTGGGTTTTGTAAAGTGCTGGAGTTGTATTTTCTTATAGTGTAGGTATTACATTACCGTCTACGAGCTTTCCTTATAATCAGAATGTCTTGAGTTCGATCCCCAGTGAGTGTGTACTGCTGATGGATTCGAAACTAGGACGAAACAGCAGTCTAGTGCCTACTGATTGGTTTTCAATGGTTATCGAACTAATATTAATCCATGATCAAATCTCCAGAAAGTATCTCTTGAAAATCGAGAATGAGAGATGAACGGAGTTTCTTGTGACCAGAAGTAAAATATAGGTCGCATATTTCGTCGTCAAAACAGTAGAAATCGTTTTGCACCTTAAGGGACTATCATCCATTCCACTTGGCTACAGGAGTCACCTCTTGTATAAAATGAACCATTAACCATTCCAGCTGTCGTCGAAACTTACATACTATGGTGAGAGCTGTCTGTAAGCCAAAATTGTAGACAACAATTTACGTCAATGTTCACATCACGAATCAGGTTCGTGAGAAAAACGATAACAAAGCTTAACCTTGAGAAAACCACCAGCCAATAACAGCGGAGTTAAGTTGTGTGGAAATATGATTCACAGATATATGGCTTAACTTTCTGAGAAACGGTCACGAAGGGATAACAGAATAGCCTTCAGCAAGAAAACAACCAATCAGAAGAGATTGCTTCTCTTCTAACAACAACGCTAATAATAATGCACATAAAAATCTATAAATACCTCTTGATTTTCTCAATAAACGGTCTGTTGCCTGGCCCTTGTCTTCTGTCGTTACACTACTAGCGGCCAACATATCTAGCATACATACATGTATAAGTATATATATATATATATCCTTGGACTAGTGATCACAAAGTCATTAAGTATCACAAAACCCAGACCAAACAGATGACCTTCAAATTCGTATTTGCAATCTGCAAATACACTTTCACAATATTTTCATGCGAAACAAGAAATTGATTATATCGTCATATTTACAAGTATGTTTCCACACCGAGCATCCTGAAAGAAAATTGAATATCTTGGTATATCTGTGACAATTGGCCACTCTAACTTTAGTCAGTTTAAAACTGGTTTGTAAAATATCAGGCCGTACAACTTTACTTCTTATGAAGTCTTCAATGCTTGGTTACGTGATCTAATCGAAAGCAGTGTGAACTTACATCTATGGCAGGACATTCAGTAACTACTTTGTTTTCTTTTTTCCAATAATAGACTCTCCTACTGTGTTTTGCATTCATACCACCTATGGTATGCGTTGGAATTGTATATCTGTTACTGTCTGACTTTCTGTCGGCACTGGTCTTGTATACCAGTCTATTTCTGGGGACATTAATCAAGAAAAAGTTTTTCTGGAGTTGGTTTGTGTATATGATCGTCATTTGGGTTTTCGTCTCATGTCTTATCTCAATTAATTTATATTTTTTGGCGTCTGACAAAGTGAGTATGTTTCATTATCATAATAATAATAATAATATCTTATCACAATAATAATAACAATATCCCCGGTTGTAGCAGATATATTCATGGGTAGGTGGGAAAACATAGCGATTGAAACGTTCATCCCCACTCCACATCGAAGTATGGTGGAGGTATGCGTAGATCACACATTCACAGTACTTAGAACACAGGATATAGATAGATTTTTCGAACACATTAACTCAAAGGTGGAGGCAATTCAATTCACTTATGAATTGGAAAGTCAGGAAGCGTTGGTGCTTCCAATGTTAGATTGCAACATAAAAAGGAAAGAAGATGGGAAGTTAAACACACTAGTGTGTTTACAGGAAACCCACATATTCAAACAGATATTTGGACTTCCGATCATCCCATCCTATGTCAGTAAAAAATAGGATTGGTGCAATGGTTAAGTGACAGAGGACAAAAACTAAGTAGTACCAAGGAAAATCTAGACAGGAAGTGAGGCATATAAGAGAAGCTTTGAAACTTAATAATTACCCTGATAAATTAGTCAGGAAATATGTAGGAAAATGTAAAAATAAAACAAATAATGTTAGTAGTGATAGTGATAAAAATAATAATAATATTAATGACGACATGCATGTCAAACATGGGCAAGACAACACCAACAATAAGGAATCTAAATTTTTATTTTTATTTTATTTTTTTGATATACAGCTTGATTCCACACCGTATTTTCAGTACAAGTATGGAATTTTCAGCATGGATATCGGTAGCCCAAATTCAGGCCGACCATAGATATCGGGTGTGCGCCGGCAGGGGATCGAACCCCGGACCATATGCATGGTCGGCGAGAGTCCTAACCACTGTGCCACCGACGCACTAAATCATCAGTAGTACTTCCATAGAAAGAAGGAACCTTGGAAACCTTACACAGAATTCTTAACAAAGGAGGAATAAAAGTGGCTGACATATAAACCCACAAACTCAATTAGAAACAAGCTTTGTCGGTTAAAGGATCCTGCCAGTGGTGCCAATTAAACAAAACAATTTAGTTTATCTAATACCCTGCCTGCGATGATTGTCAGGTCAAATACTTAGGTCAAACTAGTAGAACAGGGGAAGTCAGACTAGCAGAACGTAAAAACCTAGCAAAGTGTAGCTTAGTTGACCCAAATAAGATAATAAATCTAAAGAATAGTTCAGCTATACCACTCACTACACGCAATTACACACAAAGATACAATAGGATGTGATGGTATAAGATGACAGTTTTAAAATCTAATGTAATTGCTGGGTGGAGGGAGAGATTGATAACAGAAGCCTTGTTTATCGAATCAACTGCAAACACGTGTAATAGGAAAGATTCAACACCTGTCCACTTTGATATCTGGAAAATTCTACTACCCCAACGACGACAAATAGGAGAAGACAAAGAAAACTATAAAAGTCAAGTTTCAAAGTCGTGTGATTATAATTGATTGGTATGATTATGAACAATAATAAATTGTTTTCGAAACTCTGTCATCCAGTAAATAATACTGTTTCATTCACTGTGTGATACATCTAATAAACAAACTAATATGGAATTACTTACTACCTCAGTGCCCAAGTTTTACACATATATTAATATCTAACACTTTCTGATGAACAAATCTCTGTGTGTGTGTGTGGTCAGCCAGTTATCTTTATTTATGAATTTCTTGATATTATGAGATTTTACAGGTTAAACATCTTTCATAATATCAATAACTCAGAGAACGACTGAAGTCTTTATTTCCCCTGTAGTCTGTAATGTCCTTCTCTGGCATTTACTAGATGTCCATCAGAGTAAGAGAAGTGATTACGTCACCACCACACAGATATTGGATCCAGAATTGTTTACCAATCAAGTGGTTATTTTAGTCAGTCAGTTTTAGGTATAGGTGGGGTGGGTGTGAAATTAAGAGGTTGAAAGTCATCAAAACAATTAACTAATATTGAAGTATTGCTGGATGGAGGATTTCGTCATCATCCGACATCAGCTACAGAACTATTGGAAAACCACCAGGGAGTACTGTTTCGTCCTAGTTTGGGACTCCAAATCAGTAGGCATCCACCGCCAAAGTCCGAACCCAGGACATTCTGGTTACAAGGTGAGCTAGTTTGTAGACCATTAAACCACTAGGACACGATCCAATAGCCACTGCATGAATTCTAACTTCGGCAAATTCATGACATAACGCGACCTCTTCGCAATATCTTCTTCTATAAGTTACTGCCACGACTAGTAGGGTACAGAAGTTCGAAGGTGATGCAGTAACTCATCGAAGCGAAGTGGTACCGCTATGTCATGAATTGACTAAAGTTAGAATTCATGGGCTGGCCACTGGGTTGTGTCCCAGTTTTCCTGGGTTTTCCTGGGTTCGAACGTTTGCGGTGTGTGCTTACTGACGAAGAATCCCAAACTAGGACGGGAGAAACAGCTGTCCAGTACTCCCTGTTGGTTTTCCAATGGTTCTCTAACTGATGTCAGCTCATGATGAAATATAGTGTTTAGCCATTTGGTGATTATACTGAGTAAATTTTCTATTCCAAAAACTGTCGAATAAACTGGAAGCATACTACAGTGTGTCTATAATAATTCTTATGTCATACATTACGACAACAGTACAAATACATCACTGCTTACATTAAAGTCACCACTGAAAAGTTCTCTTCTAATATAATTCCTCCTTTTTCAGGTATTGTATCATTTCATGGGACTCGCATTTCTTTTTCCTCCAATACCGGTAAGTTAACAAAATATCTTCATTTTCAAATATTTCATTGTAATTTGTTTTCTTCAATTGCCTTGAACATTCATGCCCAGTCTGTGTTTCATTGGCTTCTGTCTAACAGTTGAAAACCGTCTTGACCCTCCATAACTGTAGTAAGATTGAATGTGATTTATAACGAAGAACTCTGTATTCATTGTTGTGTCACACATGAGACAGCAGTGTTTAATATGTGCTGAATATGTAATGTTACTGTATTATTATTATTGTTTCCTTTAGTTCCTAGAGGAACATAGGGCTTCAGCCAAACGTTTCCATTGCGTTCGGTTCCCTGACAACGTTTTCACCTGGCTCCACGTTTGCCCACATGCTTTCATCTCCTCTTCACATGACCTCCTCCTCCACGTCACCTCACCCTCGCACTGACTACCAACTCGCTGCTTCCCGTTCGGGTTCCACTCGAGCGATTGCCTGGCATGTGATGTCACTGAATTGATGTGTTTTCTCACAGTATGGCCAATCCACCTCCATTCCTTCCTGCATATTTCTTGCAAAATTGGTTCCTGTTGGGTTGGTTCGTTCATTGCCAGAGATCCCTGTTGCTGATCAACTCTAGCTGGCCATCTGATCTTGAGCGAAGACAGCTGTTGATGAAGGTCTGTAGTTTGTTCGAAGTGCCCTTCGTGACGTACTGGCCAAGTCTCTGATCCGTATAGTAAGTATCACTGACTTCACAATGGAGTTGAAAATCCGCATCTCGTTTCTCATGCTGAGTGCTGTTGATCTCCACACAGACTTGAGAGTAATGAAAGCTTGCCTTGCTTTCCAGATCCTCACTGTGATATCCTCATCAGTTCCGTCCGCCTGTAGTTGGAACGATGCTTCCTAGATAGGTAGGTGGGTGAAGGAGGTTGCTTCTTTCAGATTTCTCCCATTTATGCTGATTGTTGTCTATTGTTGTTGCTTGCCGTTGTTGTTGGCCAGGAGTCTTCATCACCTCTGTTTTCTCCATGTTCACCTGAAGTCCTATCTTCTTGTATGCTTCTTATGCCAACTTGTTACTTTTCACTTATATATCTTCCAGTTTGTGGGAAATCAGATAAATATCATCGGCGAAGTCCAGATCCTCCAAGTTTTTTGTGTGGGTCCATTTTATGCCTGTTTTCTCGCTGACCGCCCTGCTCTCTGTCGCGTTATTCAGTCTACCGCAATCAGGAAAATCATTGGAGACAGTAGGCAGCCTTGTCTTACTCCTGTCTTCACTTCGAGGGATTCCGTGATTTTTCCGTTGTGGATTACTTGGCATGTAGCATTATCGTACAACTGTTGGATGAGATGTATAATTGTTGGCAGCACCCTGTAGTAGCGAAGTAGTTACCAAATCACCTCTCGATCAACGCTTTCTGCTAAAGGCCTTTTCAAAGTCAATGAAGTTGAGTTAGATAGAGAGCTGACTGCTATTCCAATGTAAGTGTGCCTCAAGTTTTATTGCGATGGACAAGCGTAATATTCACATCATCAATGAGTCTTGATTTATGTGCAATTCATGATGGAGGAGATTTTCCTGAATTGAGTGGTGATTAGCGTCGTTGTAGGAATTTGTTGTGCGGTACTATCTCGATGATTTTCTTCAAATCACTTGAAAGACCGCGATATGGTTTTTTTTTACAAATATCAGAACTTCACATTCAAGTCTTTTACGACGTCGTGTATTTTTAAGAACCATGTGAAGCAGACAACCTTATGATGAAATATTTGTATGTTACAAGTTTGACCACGGATTGATATCAGTTAGAGAACAATTGAAAACCAGCCAATGGGTGCTGGGTAGCTGTTTCGTCCTCATTCGGGCCTCATTGGCAGTGAAAACCCACTGTGATTCGAACCCAAGACATGCAGGTTATGATGTAATTGCTAGAATTTATAATTAATGGGCCACCGAGTCGGGTTCCAGTGGCTGATTGGTCTACGAGGTTAACTTGTAACCGCGAGTGCGCACCGCTGATGAGCCGCGAAGAAGGACGAAATAGCTGTCCATAGTTTTCAATCCGTGGTCAAACCTCAAACAAAGCAAATCTCCAAAAACTAACTTTTGTAAACTGGTATGTTAATTATTTCATCTCGCGCTATTATATTTCTTCGAAAACAATTATCTACATTCCTAAACGACGTTACTTTATGAAGTATACTTGGGTCTTGCTTCTCCGACACAGAGTACACGCACCTTCTGAACACATCTCACTTCGGTGAAAAATATATTTCACTATTAATCTTATATCAGTTCTGCTTTTATACCCCTTGTGATTAAAGTTCATCTGTCGTCAGAACTAAGAGCAACCACATCAAGCTGAAAATTATTATCTCGTTTCAAGATCACCTTCGCTTTCATGTTGAATTAAATAATATTAATATTGATAATTGTGAATATAGAGAAAATATTCATTCAGACATCTATAAAAAGACAAAATAATTGAGCAAAGAATATCCTTTTCGATAATTTCCTCTTCTAGCTCTACAATTATATATGCATATGTTTATATACATAAAATATTCTAGAATAGTAGTCAATAACATTATTAGTGTTTTTTAAATAATATCGATTTGTTAAGTAAGATCACAATGGAATTACAGTTCATTAAAGATGCATAAATAATAATAATAAAGATATAATAGCAAATAGAATATCAACTAAAATTAAGGAAATTCCACAAAAATTGAGGATCATTCAAACCTAAATGGCCAAGGTAAGGATAATGTCTGAACTAGCTTCTTTTGGAAAACATAAATTAGGCTTCTTAATGTGGATCCCAACAGCCAGCCTCAGCAATATTTAGTAAACGAACTCTTAAGGCGAAGTTAAGATTAGTTGGTTGGTATGCGGTAAATGACTTTGAAAGCTGCCTCGTTGACATCAATCTTGTGTTCTGTCTGTATCCACAAGATGAGATAAAATAGCGCTACGAATAGATTTTGTTTGTCCTTTACTTAACCACTTTGCAGGGTGATGTTCTGAAATCCGACGAGAAACACGCCTAATTGTACAGCCTATGTAACTGGCTCCACAGGAGCACTAATATTGTTATTGACTACTATTCTAGAATATTCTACGTATATAACCATATATATGTATATAATTGTAGAGCCAGAAGAGGAATTATCAAAGGATATTCTTTGCTCAATTATTTTGTTGTTTTTTATAATTGTGAATATCTTAACTTTGTACACAAATTGCTATTACACAGCTATTGAGAAAGAAATCTACCAAAGATGTCTCCTCTCAACTGATTGTTAACTCTCTAATGTTCTAAAGGATATTTACGATGATTTAAATACACAGAAGGGATGTAAATGTGGTCCTTTCATGTTTCATTTAATGTCTGGTTACATACGCCAGTTTTGCATATTTGAGTGACTGCTTTAGATGGCTTATTGGGTGAGATTTTCCTCGTGTTTTGCACTTTTTCATCACGATTGGGTGTCACCAACATATTCTGTGATATTTCTACATCATTGGATGAGCAGTAGAATGCATACTCTTCAACCATTCCCCATGGGATCGGGGGTTCAGTGCCTAACTGAAGCACTCATTAACTTCGTTTAGCCGATGTTAATCCCATTAAAGAAGGGAGGTTGTGAGGCATGATGATGGCAATCCCACTTCAGGAAATAAGATTATCACTAGTGCCAGTGAAACTTCAATGCTCAAAGCCTGAACACTCATGCTGTACTCGGAAGGCAAAGGGAATGAAATTTTCTAAAAAATAACATAACAGTGTAGATACCATTTTTCTTCCTTTCACGTTCCCCAGTGGAACATAGGGCTTCAAGCTAGTGACTTGAAGATTCTGTAGCAGTGTTCATTTTACAGGATGGAGTTGCTAGCCTCATGCCCAACCTTTCCTCTATACCAGCATTATTTCTGGCTTAGCGAGGTAAGGGAGTGCGTCGGCCGGGGATCGCACCCCGGACCATGTGCATGGTCGGCGAGCGTCTTAACCGCTATGCCATCGACGCACGTGTAGGTACCCTACTGTTACACTAAATTGTAATAAACATCTAAATAATTTGCACCCCATACCACTAACTGTTACATGACTTGCCTCAATCTGATGGAAGCAATTTTATTAAGCATGACAATGATTTGACTGTTTCTCAGCCAGACTGTTCAAATGTGAATAACTTTTTATTCGAAATTAATCAGTTGTGCTTGTCAAATAATCGTAAAATTTAGAACAACACATTTAAGCGAACAATAATGTGTTTTCAATTAGATCTCATCAGGCTTAACTCTAATACACCTACATAACTTTACAAATAAAATAATAATAATAATGATAATGACTTTATTCCAAACAGTATTTGTGGTACAGGTATGGAATTTTCAGCGTTCATTACAATATTGCATCTAATTACCTCATAAATTTTATAAGGATTTAGAAATATAAAGCAACAACAACAAAAAGAAAAAGAGAAATAAAAGAAATAAAATAAAAAAGAACAGCATTGCATTCACATATTTAAACAGTGCACCACAGGATACGATATATAAAATTAGACTGTAATAGAATATATGAGCAACAATATAATAGTAACAAAGAAAGGAAAACAAAAGCTAATGGGAACTATTTGTTAGAGTGCCGCAGTAAATTGATCATGTCATGCCTAACAGTTTTCTCATCACATAACAGCTGTGCCAGATAAGGTATTGTGGAGTTTTTATACTTGGTAGTCCTGGCATATAGCTTCCTATAGTTGCTTCTAGTTCTACCAGATGAAATGCAAGGAGAGAGCTGCGTATGGAGAGGGTGTTCGGGGTCTGACAATATAGAATTTGCTAGTTTCTTACATGACATTATATGTCTATCCACAATTGTGTTAACCAGTTGGTTTAACGATATCCCACTTGCCCTACTAACAGCTTTTAGTGCCCTATGCAGCGAAGCAAAGTCTTTCTTAAGTAGTCCAGGAAAGATTAATGGGGAGCAGTAAAGAGGGATGGGTAGAATACAGGAATTGACAAACTGAGAAAGTAAAGACTGCTTTATACCAGACTGCCTAAACTTCCTAAGGTAGAACGTTAAGCGAAACATCTTTCTAGTCACTAGCAAGATGTGAGAGGACCAGGAAAGATCGGAGGAAATACTCAGTCCAAGGTACTTGACATCTGATGTAGTTTCAACCTCTATGCCGTCTATGATAGTGGGACCATGTGAGCTAGCTAGTTGTTGAAGGTCACTTTTTCGTCTGAAAGTAAAATTTACTACCTGACATTTAGACGGATTCAGCTTAAGACCGTTTGAAGAGGACCACTGACTAATTTCCGAGAGAAAGTTATTTAGTATGGAACAGTCTGACTGAGAGTTGACAGGCATGGAGACAGAGAGGTCATCAGCATACTTGACAAAAGTGGCTACATCAGATATAAACCAATCATGGTGTTTTGTCTATAGGATAAGATAAGATTGTGCATATAAATTGTGCAGTTAGTCATAATAATAGTAATGACAATAATAATGATGCTTTTATCAATAATTAGGATTTGTATAGCGTTATAAGAATACTGAGATTATCTGGAAAGTAATGTGGAATGTACTTCCACTATACATTTCGAACAATCTGATCACACATTTACTTGTCAAGTCGATATATATGAGAAGATTAAGGGCAATTAAGTTAAACAAAGTGGCAAAAAACGATTTAAGAATGATTAACGCAACGTTTGATAATCCAACCACTTGGACAACGCAGTACCATAATTTTCACAGTTTATGTCCATTACAGTATAAAAGAGGCTTGGTGAAGTGTCTATTTAAGAGGATTCAGCGTATTTGCACGGCTGATGTTATAGACAAAGAAAACGAAATATTGATGGATACTCTTGTTGAAAACGGGGATATCCTTTGAAATTTTTAAACAGGTGTAGAAATCAATTAGTCTTTAAACTTATAATCCATACTGTCCCTAAGAAAAAGGTTTTCATCAAATTACCATATAACGGGGAAATAAACGGTAGGATTTTGAGACAAAGGTTGAATTCGATCATCCGTAGAACCTATTATGCAGCCCAGCTTGTGATTGTCCAAAAAGCTAAAAATAGGCTTTACTGCAAAACTCAAAAGTGCACAAGTGATTATGTCACATCCCACACTATTTACCAATTTTCGTGTGTGTATGTGGTCACACATACATACGGAGGAGTAATCGCGCTTTGCATGTGAGGGTGGGAGAGCATATTCCAAAATGGCTAGAAAAACAAATGAACTGTGAAAAACCAATAGATGCAGGTGTCAGACTACTAACCTCGTCTATAGCTAAACATCTAATCGAGATGAACCATAAGGTTGATGTTAACTCAGCCTTTAAGGTCATCTATAAAAACGGTCAAGGGCGCTTATTGAAATACGCTGAGGCTATAGCTATTCATAAACTTAAGCCCCCCCCCTGTGTATTCAAAAACGATTTATTATTACTTTTAACCTACCTTGGTAATCCTTATTTGATTGGATTACCAAACGTTGTGTTAATCATTCTTAAATCGTTTTTTGCCACTTTGTTTAACTTAATTGCCCTTAATCTTCTCATATATATCGACTTGACCAGTAAATGTGTGATCAGATTGTTCGAAATGTATAGCGCAAATACATCCCAAATTAGTTTTCAAATAATCTCCGTCTTCTAATAACAACACCATCCAAATTTACAAAAGGGACAAATTGTTTTAAATAATTAGGATGAAAAACTGAGGCAATCTGTGATAACACGAATAACGAAAAACAGCACAATTAAACAAACAAAACCAGTACTCCCTGGTTTTCACTGCTTCTCTAACTGATATCAATCCGTGATCAACTCGTAAAAACGAATCCTTATAAACCAAACTATAGAAAATTTATCTGATGCTCGCTAGTGACTTGCTACAGGATGGAGCTTCCTGGAGTCCTAAATCACGAATTGGTAGAAGTTAGAATTCATGGGCCAGCCAGTGAATCGGGTCCCAGTGCCTGAATGGTATGTGAGCCAACTTGCCTTGTAACCAGTAGGTCCTGGGTTCGAACCCCTGTGGTAGGTGTATACTGCCGATGATTCGCAAAACAAGGATGAAACAGCTGGCTGTCCAGTATTCCGTGATGGTTTTCAATGGTTCTCTATCTGATATCAATCCATGATTAACTCGTAAAATTGGCAAATATTATCTTTGAATAAGGCATTAAGAAGACAAATTTCGCGAGATGATATCATTTCGTAGTTTCTTTACAACCGCTTTACAACTAACATGGTTAACAATAATAAAATAAAGTTCATGACAATTACTCAGTTAAATAAAAACAAAAGTACATACTAATGACCAATCATATTTATATAGGTCAAGTAGTCCAGGGTAGGCGAAGATTGAAGTCTATTGATTTTTGTACACACAGTTTAGGCTGTATGTGATTAATCCAAAGTGCTTCCATCACCTTCAATAACCTTGAATTAGAGTTATGTGAAATAATTGTAAAACAGTCATTAATATTTATTTTGTGACCTGACATTAATAAGTGTTTTGCAATGGATGATGCTGGATTTCTATTCAGATTACTGGCATTGGGATTTTCTATGTGATTTAGTAGCCATTTTGGAACATGTTCTTGGTGATAATATTAAATCTATTGAAAACTTTATTACTCTATTTAATCATATTCATCCAAATATCCGAGTGACTTCCGAACGCGAATCGAATAACAAACTTGGGTTCCTCGATATTACAATGACCAGGAGAGATGATGGTACGGTTCAGAGATCTATTTTTCGTAAACAAACGTGGAGTGGACAATATCTTCATTTTACCAGTTTTGTTCCTATCCAGTATAAACGTTCCCTAGTGAAATGTTTGTTTTCAAGGGCCCGAAAAATATGCACGAGTGACACAGTGATGGAGGAGTTTCGACATATACATTCAGTTTTATTAGCTAATGGTTATCCGGAAAACTTTATCACTTGTCACAGTAAAGAAAGACCACATCTTGAAAAGACAGCTTCGGTACCAAAGAAAGCTATCTTTATTAACCTACCATTCAAGGGTGATCAGATTATGCAATTGACAGCTCAAAGACTCCGGTCAGCCATCAAACGCACATTCTACGCCGCATCTCTGTTCCTCACTTGCCGAACATTTTCGATCCCTGTACCTACGATTAAAGGACGAAATTCTGTGGACTCTACTTCAAACTGTATCTACAAGTTCACCTGCAGCTGCGGTGACACCTATATAGGTAGAACCAACAGAATGTTCCAATGTGATCGTCGGAAAGAACATGTTCCAAAATGGCTACTAAATCACATAGAAAATCCCAATGCCAGTAATCTGAATAGAAATCCAGCATCATCCATTGCAAAACACTTATTAATGTCAGGTCACAAAATAAATATTAATGACTGTTTTACAATTATTTCACATAACTCTAATTCAAGGTTATTGAAGGTGATGGAAGCACTTTGGATTAATCACATACAGCCTAAACTGTGTGTACAAAAATCAATAGACTTCAATCTTCGCCTACCCTGGACTACTTGACCTATATAAATATGATTGGTCATTAGTATGTACTTTTGTTTTTATTTAACTGAGTAATTGTCATGAACTTTATTTTATTATTGTTAACCATGTTAGTTGTAAAGCGGTTGTAAAGAAACTACGAAATGATATCATCTCGCGAAATTTGTCTTCTTAATGCCTTATTCAAATTTATCAAAGGGACTAATTGTTTCACTTTTCTCAAATATTATCTTGTCAGACTCTGAGCATCCTCTCCATAAACAACTCTCTCCTTGCTGCATCTCATCGATTGGGTAGAACTAGAAGCAACTACAGAAGACTACATTCTCGGATGACTGAGTACAAAAACTCCACCATACCTTATTTGACAGACACACATTTTATGTGATTATAAATGTGTGTAAGGCAGGACACTAGCAACTTATTGAGTGTTGTTAACATTTTCACTTAATTTAATTTTATACCCACATTTTATATTGAACAATATTATAAATGTGAATGCCCTGTTTTAATTATTACCACTGTACTGTACTATATGCTTAAAATTCAAAATTTGTACCAACAAAATACTGCTTGGAATAAATCTATTATTCAAGTGTTAGTTTATAGGGATTTGATTGGTTACAGGATTTTCATCATGAGCTGACATTAGTTAGAGAACCATTTGAAAACCTGGGAGTACTGGACAGCTGTTGCGTCAGCCTAGGTTGGGACTCTTAAGTAGCACGCACCCACCGGGATTCGAACCCAGGACCTTCTGGTTACAAGGCGAGTCCCGTTAAGCCAATAGGACCCTATCCAGTGGCCACTGCATGAATTCTAACTTCTGCCAATTCACGACATATCGCAACCCCTAGCCAATGTCTTCCGTGGCGAGTATTTGTCCTCACACCCAACCTGCTGCACCCTACTGGTCACGACTTCTCACTAGAACCCCAGGTAACTACCTACCTGAATAGGGCAAGTCGCGCTATGTTGCGAACAGGCAGAAGTTAGAATTCATGGGCTGGCCACTTGATTGGGTCCCAGTGGCCTAATGGTTTGCGAGCTCGCCTTGTAACCAGAAGGTCCTGGGTTCGAATCCCGGTGGTTGTGCACTGCTGAAGAGTCCCAAACTAGGACGAAACAGCTGTCCAGTACTCCCTGGCAGGTTTTCCAATGGTTCTCTAACTAATGTCAGCTCATGATGAAAACCCTGTAACAAATCTATTATTATTATTGTTGTTATTAATAACGTTCTGACTAGTAGTCATCTGCAGTGACGCCAGTGACTAGCATGGTTGATTCACACAAGTATGTCTTCCACATACATATTAAAGCTGTACAGAAATGACAGGAGGTAATATGAGATCCTTATCCCAATGCTAGTCAGCATTCATTTTAAGATTATTTGATGCTCGTTAGTGCTTCTTCATTATTATACTAATTAAAACAATTTCTCATCCCTTGTTGTAGCTCCTTCTGCGTATCGGGCAACTGTTAGTCACGCAGCAATCGGAACGCATGTCAACTTCTCATTTCATATTGGGTTTACTTGCAATATCCTTCATATTTCTACTGCTGTTTTTCTCAATCGCTATTCACTTCTATCCTTCTAAAATGCCATCCACTAAACCATAAGTAATTTCGATTATGTAATCCATTGTTGTGTAAATCATTTTGAAATCGTACGAATTTGTTTCAATGCTTACAAACATGATAATGACATACCAAGGTGATGCGAAATGATTTCTGAAATGCTTGCGTAACTGTGAATTCTTCTCTTCCCTTCTCTTTTCATGGAAATAAAACACAATGACTTCCTGATATCCGTCTTTAATTCTGTTAATTTTTGTGACGCTAACTCGAATTAGATGATTCCACTTTGTGCTGATGTAACTCAAGATGTCAGCGTTCATTTCCTATACTACTTCCGTGAGCAGTAATCTTCGAATATTTGGCATACGATTTGCTCCTGTCAAATATTAGATGGTGCTACAGGACAGGATTACATCGACTAACTCCTAGCTTAAAGAGAGTCAGGAGTGAAGTGGTAGAAGGTGTTGACCACTTCACTCATTTGGAAAGTTGCATCAGCCCCATGGGTTTGATCTGATCGCTGACGAAATCTCAGCACAGGTACAGAAGGCTTGCTTGGCATTTGACTGCCAACTTACTCCATCTCTGGCCTAGTAGACGTGATATCCGGCTGGCTATCTCCAGAAGGTAGTGTGTACTGTTCAGAAGTCCGCAGTCGGGGGTTTAGAGTAAGTTTCCGAGGCATTTGGGCATAGCTAAAGCATCAGCGATCCAAACGTTCAAGCCTGCGGTATGTATCCGAAAGAAATACATCCAACTGTTGTCGGTACCAAGGTTATCTCGTAAATAGTCAAGTCTCTCATTTTTAGATGTCTTAATCGGGAGAACTAACACAGGAAATTTAGAAACACAAGTATATAGATAATCAATGCACGCAAACTGATGAAATACTCAAATATAGTAGTAATAACCCAATTACTCACAAAAGAAACTGTGTGCAGACATTGTTTAGAAGAGTTCAAACATACTGTAGCACTCCAGTGTTGAAGAGAATGGAAGAAAAATACCTACCAACTGTCTTCAAAAACAATGGATATCCTCACAATTTCATCAAAAACCGTTTAAACTCTAGTTATGATACCAACAACGTGCCAACATCAACGACCACAAGAAAATTCTTCCTACCATATACAAAAAAAAGTATCTCTGAAATAACAGCTAGAATATTGAAACCATTCGAAACAGATATAGCACACAAGCCAACCAGCCAGCCAGCACAATCACTTAATAAAAATAATTTGCTTTATTCCAAAACAGTATTTGTGATACAGAGTGGAATTCTCAGCATTTTTACTACAGTATTGCATCCAGTTAGTACATTATCAATAAATAGAATTCTACATAGATTAAGGAAATCTCAGTTCATTATGACAACAACATATTGGCATGTCGGTAGCAAAGGTAAAGTTGAACAGTGTTAGAAAAGTAGGTGCTCTCGTATTTACTGGCGTAAGCGGGAGAAAGAAACAAAGCAGCACATAACGGAAAAAAGAGAGAGAAAAGAAAAAGAAGGAAAGAAAACGTTGTACCTATAAATGATATGAGTTGGAAAGACGAGTTCCACTTGTCCTACCGACTATTTAATGAATTATAGGTGTCACGCCTATTGCTTTCTTTATCACACAGAACACGAGCTAAGTAGGGTATGGTTGAGTTTTTGTACTTGCTAGTGCGAGCATATAGTTTTCCAAATAGGCTTCTGGTTTTGCCTGATGAGATGCAAGGGGAAAGTTGTGAGTGAAGAGGGTGGTGTGAGTTAGATAAAATGGATTTGGCCCATTTTTCACATGAGTCCACGTGCCTGTCAACCAGAATATTAACAAGCTGGTTAAGTGGCACGTTGCTTACCCTGCTGACAACCTTTAACATCCTGCGTAATAAGGTATAGTCTTTCTTCAGTAGCCATGGAAAAACTAAGGGGGAACAATAGAGGATAATAGGCAGAATGCGATAGTTAACGAATTGTAGGAGTAAGGGTTGGGTTATACCATTCATTCGATAGTGTGCAAACCGAAAGATTCCACAGAAAAAGAAGCAAGATAAAATTAACACCATTTACAAAATAAATTGTATGAACTGCAACAGACATTGCATCGATCAACAAAGTGGGCGTCTCCTTCGAATCAGAATCCAGAAACACAAATTAGCTGTGAAAAGACATGATATATATTCCTGCTTCATATCAATGCATGTAGATAATTATGGACATCAATTTGATGATTGGGATAATGTCGAAATTTTAAACAGAGGAAACACCAAAAGTGCCAGAGAATTCGTAGAAACCTGGTACTCAAGCGAATCAGCCAGCGATTAATAAACATGTTAATATAGACCAAATCTTGAAATAATTGAGAAGATTTGTATCTCAGGTGAATGATTTGCAATTAGTAGTGTTCTCTGTGTTGGTTGGTTTATTTCCGGAGCTTTCGTCATCCTTCTGGACAACATTCCCTTTCAGCGCAATTTTTATCATAAACTGAACTGATCAAAATTTTCCATGAGTGATAGAATCGCGTCTCCCGGTAACCATCTTTACGTATGTATTGATCTACCAACTAATAAAAAGTAAATCACGTGACGAGGAAGTTCAAAATCGAAGTCAGTAAAAAATGATAAAGATGGTTACCTGGAGACGCAATTCTATCACTCATGGAGAATTTAAATCAGTTCATTTTATGCTAAAACTTGCGCTGAAAGGGGATGTTGTCTAGAAGAGGGGATGACGAAAGCTCCGCAGTTAAACCGACCAGCTCAGAGAACACAACTAATTGCAAGTCAATCCTCTCAATAGTGATCATCCTAATTACCTTTCTTATCCAAACTACCGGTTTATTTCTGCACTACTAGCAGTTTTTATAACCGATCTTCCAGTCTGCTTTGTTATTATTTCATTTTAAACCCTATTTGTAATCTTATTAATTTGATCCTTGATCGGAAATAGTTCTGGAACTTTCGCATTCATTTAATATACATGTACGATTGTACAGCCTTGTTGATGACTTCGTCGAAAAGAAACTTTTCTTCACTACAACCGTCTCTTTTTATATTTCCTATGAACTGGCAATGTGAAATATTCAGACCAACCAGATGAGTGATCTACGAGAAAACATAGATTGTACAGTGTCCGATATTTGTTTTGTGAATGATGGAGTTGATGTGTGGTAGTTGTGAGTGTGTGTGTGTGTGTGTGTGTGTTTTTATTAGTTTGTGTTGTGTGAAGTTGGTTGATTATGTGAGTGTGTACGTGCTCCTCGATAGTATAGTGGTGAGTATCTCCGCCTGTCACGTGGAAGGCCCGGGTTCGATTCCCGGTCGAGGAGCTGGCTTTTACTTCACCCGATCAATCAGTCAGTATCAATCAATCATCAATCATCAATCATCTATCAATCAAATGCACTCTGCTCTGCACCAACTCTCGCACCATACAACACTGTCGCCATCACCTTGACACAGCGACCGACCGACCCACCGACCGTCCCGCCGAACACCAGCACACACTCAGTCAAGCGGAAACACTCAAAATCAGAAATGTAAGTTCACTGATACGAAATGAATGAGACAGCAGACCAGAACACAGCATTACACGGATGTCGGAAGAAATGTCGGATGGACGAAGATTATGTTCCCCTCACCCAGCTAGCATTTTCTTCGGGCGTACTTTCTGCAGAAAGTGAGACAGTCAGTCATCTGCAGTCTGCCCCAAAGTTCGTCAATGCGCAAGAAGTCAATGCTAGCTGGGTCAGCACTGTGTCAACGAGCTGAGTGATACCTGATGAGGCGATGGAGGGAGGGAAGGAGATAGATACAGAGAGAGCGAAACTGAGAGATAGGGAGAAAGTGATAGAGCGACAGAGAGAGAGAGCGAGAGGGACAGCGAGAGAGAGGGTGATAGGGGGGAGAGAGAGTATTGACAGGTAAGCAGTAATACTTCGATTTGTTGTATTTCATAGACGAGACGCTGACACACACAGTGGAGGAGAGCAATGCACACAGAAATGTTGATCGATGGATAGGTGAGGAGCGAACGGGCGAGAGGTGAGCGTTGATGGTGTACATCCGCGAATGGTGTGTGTTTGTGTGTGTGTGTGTGTGTGTGCGTGCGTGCGTGCGTGTAAGTGGGTGTGTGTCCGTCTTCGACAGACAGTGTATCTATCATTATGGGTTCTATCTAGGTGATTCGACATAGTGGTTATTTTGAGGCAAGTGTTGATGGATGTATTGGGCGCGCGCGCGCGCTCGTGTGTGTGTGTGTGTGTGATTCGGTGAGGATGAGTAGTTGTTGAGTGTTGATTTATTGTCGGTGTGTTTGTGTTTGTGTGATTGTAGTGTGTTGTGTTGTGTTGTGGTTTCTCAAAACCCTCTGCCCCCAGGGAGGATCGAACTCCCGACCCCTGGTTTACAAGACCAGTGCTCTGACCACTGAGCTATGGAGGCCCGCCCGACTATTCCAACACCATACAACACATCACACACACTCTCATATCAAACAATCAATCAATCAATCAATCAATCAATCAACCAATCAATCAGTCAATCGGTCAGCCAACCATATTATCACTCATTCACTCCAACATATATCCAAATCACTAACTAATCCATCCACTTCAAAATCCGCATACACACACACACACACACACACACGCCAACACCACTTCACAATGTATAGTAGTCACCTCTGCAAATAAGCAATCACCTCATTCCTGGATCGATGCATGCATGGATGGATGGAGGGAAGAGATGTCACATGACAACGCACATACATGCATATGTGTGTTGTGCTCGTGTCGTGAGTACAAATGCATTTGGTTTCGGTCAGATGACATGAATTGTCGTTTCAGAGGTGATTTTCATCTTTCTGAGGAAATCAGCTTGCAGTAGTGGGAATCGTTGTGTGTGTGCGAATGTGTGTGTATCTGATTGTTTGGTTGTTAGTTTGTTTGTGAATTTGATGTCGAGTGAGTGTGTGTGTGTGTGGGTAGACGATTGACGGATGGATTGTCAGTCGATGAGATTGTCAGTGTGAGGAGACTTGAAGCGAGCGT